ATCCATTGATTATTCCTTGATGACTGAACTTTTCCTTCAATAAACACCTTCAGGAAAATAGTTGACAAAATTCTAACCTGACAGGAAGAAAACGAAATGTTCCCCAGTTCATTTATGAGCCCATTTAATAAAATGAGGTTATTGTTCCATTTGAAGCTGTTTAAATCAACTTTAATGTTCCAAAAGATCAAATATAACATATAACAATGAACAAATCAAACAAGCAGGGATGCTAATAACAGATCTTAATGCATCAAAACTAGAGCAGATAAACAGCCGACTTTACAGCATCGTCGTCCCCCTGCTGAACAACACCTATAAATACAGAAACAAAACAGCAAATCAATTGTCTTCACTCGGTGTCACATAGCCTTTGAATTTCCTCATAGCGAGAATCTGTTGTTTCCAGTAGGACGTCCAGCTGTGCTGTTTGCCCAGTTGTTTCTGTTTGCTGACATCAGAACTGGACTCCTCTGACTGGATCAGCTGCTGAAAGCGCTGACAGACACAAAAGTAAACATTCATTTCACAGTGGCCGGTGTTTACTGTGCTTTGGTAGATGATGCCAAGAGAGGACAGTGTTAAATTTTTAACCAGCCGGTTTTTGGGTCGGTTTACACAGCATGACCTTAAAATTACTGTGTGATTCTCAAAGTATAAAAGACTGATAAGATCTGGTATTGACCAGTTTTGGGGTTGTGTTTGCTCCAGATAACAAGCGCAGTACGTCACACTTGAGCTGATTTTAACACCCTTGATACACGTCAAAGGATTGATACCTAAACCTAATGTCACAGAATTGATCCAAAACTTAAATAAGTCTGAAATACATGTAGCCGCCATGGAGTCACAATATAGGATGGATGACAGATTTTGTTGTAACACTGGTTCTCATTTACAGTGACAGAAGCGATGAGGAGAATGGCTTTGCTTTATTCACGGATGAGTGGAAAAGTAGATAGTTTTAAGAGCAAGAAATTACATCTCAAAACATAATCTGTCCAGTCAGTTCATCAGGATTAGGATTCTTCTTTTAAATATTGTGTAGCTGCTCTGAGCAGCAGACCCCTGCAGACAAGTGTGCTAAGAATCCCCAGTAACAGCTCTAAAAGCTGGCCAATTATGCAGGGATATTTCCCAATGCTATAAAATGCATCTGAAAGTAAATATAAGCAGTTTTTTATGTGGTAAAACTAGTAAAGTACTAGAATAAAATAAAAATAAAATATATATTTTTTTAGGCATTTTAAGTTAATTAACAACTGTTAATAAATAAACTATTTGGTATGTATGTATTTAAGTCTATGAGATAAGAACATTTTTACTTTTCTTTGTACATGACATCCGAGTGGAGTCTGACCATTTTATATATACTCTTTTTTTTCATGGTTCTATGCTGACAGGAAGTAATTGTTTGACACACTGTGCCACACAATGCAGGATATAAGCCAAGTCAGTAAAATATGTTGAATTTCTCAGATTAGCAATCAGAGCAGCATTAGGGCTGTACTGGTAAGGATTAGGTTTAGTGTAAAGGTCAATGCAATGTCATAGAAATGAATGATTTTGGAGGCAAAATCTTTTTATAGAGAGAAATACACAGATATGTATGTGTGTTTGTGTGTACCTGTCTAGCCCTCAGAGTGAGGACCATTTTTCCAATTTCATCATCAAATTGAGGAGCAGTTGTTGTAAAGTGAGGACATTTTGCTGGTCCTCACAAGCTATTTTGCTAATGGTTAGGTTGAGGGCTAAGGTGTCCATTGGGTTAGGGTGAGGTATGCATTGGTAATGGTTAGGTTTAGGGTTAGTTTTAGGGTTAGGGCAAAGAAAAGGTTGAAAATGACTGAAAATCAATGGAAATCAATGGAACTCAACACATGGTGGCAGAGTTTGTGTGTGTGTACTGTATGTGTGTGTGGGGGGGTGATCACCTTTAATGCTGCATCTCTCTGCTCAATAACCAAATTCCGGCTGCTCCTGGCTGTGGTGATGGATGCTGCACTTGGGATAAAGGATTCTGCTAAGTTAAGGTTTGCAAGACGGCGAGCAATAGCGAGCCATTCCCTGAAACACACACAAACCCATAGACTTACTGGAAAGCGGCACTCTGTTAAAGTTCTTCTGAATCTTGTCAGGTATCTCAGACGTTACCTGCTTCCTCTAAGCTCACTTCCTGCCTCTGTTGCTGTGGTTACAGCGCTGGGAGGTTTTGCTGGATCAGGTTCTGCAGGAACAGAACCATAAAAATAAATTAAATACCTTCTGCCAAAAGAACAGACGGTCCTTGTCTTCTTGGTAAATAGGAGTTTTTCCTCTCCACTGTCGCTACAAGCATGCTTAGTGGGAGGGATTGCATTCGAGTCAATGAGTCGATGCAATCAACTGGTTTTCCTTAGATAGAAAACTTTGAATTAATTTGACTGGCTGATCTGGTGAACTGTAAAGTGCCTTGAGATGACATGTGATGTGAATTGGCGCTATAGAAGTAAACTGAAATGAACTGAATTGAATCCTGGTCTTCTGGATTGATGGGGCTCCTGACCTCTAACTCTGTCTGGAGGTTCCTTCTGGTGTCAGATGGGTCAACGTTACCTTCAGCTATCAGCAGCTCATCCAGGAGATGCAGCAGCTTCTCTGTCAGGGAGGACAGTGACGTCACAAACTCCTCTGCTCTCCTGCTCAAACACTCCTGCATTGAACACACACACAAGTCTTCAGGCCGAGGCTACAGTTGTGCATCTCTCTGGCTCCTCCCCCTCTTACCTGCAGCTCCAGGTGTGTGCTGAGGGTGGCGCTGAGCAGCTGTTGCTGTCTGAGCTCCTCCTTGCTGTTAAGTGTCTGCAGCTCTTTCTCTCCAAGAGACACCTTCAGCCCATAAAAATTGGAGTTCTGAGAACGAAACGCAGCTTCAGCCTTCTGGGAGCTTCGTCATTGTTAGAGAAAATCTGCAGCTTAGCTTCGCACCTTTTCCTCCTCGCTGGTTGCCAGCTGCTTTTCCAGCTTCTCCTGGACTGCGCACACCTCCGCTGTGAGCCAAGTCACATGTTGTCCTTCATGGTTTTTGATCAAAATCTCAGGTAAGCTCCTAAGCAGCCCCCTGAACACAAACAGCTGCCTCACCAGCTCTGAGACAAGAGGACGCATGAGGACAGGTAAGGCATGGAACAGCAAGGTGAATTATGCTCAGGCTCAGACTGGGAACAATTTTCGGCCCTGGCATTTTTCCATGCAAGCATCACACGAAACCATCACCAAGACTTCAATAATGTGGTTTTACTGGCTTTGGTTATTAACACAGACACGACAGTGACTGCTGCTGCGTAACGTCCACACTCACCACATCAGCAAGGTTGCCAGATGTCACTGACTCACGTTTTCCAGCCAAAGAAATGTTCATAAACAGCCTGGATATACGGAATCTCGCCTACTGATCTCTTAGGCAATAACTCTGATGAAAAACATGTTTTACCCATAGATGGCCATCCTAAACTGCCGGATTGGGATATATCCCAACCTGGCAACAATGCACGTAATACGGGAAACGTTAGCCTTTAGATGCAAAACCCAATCATGCACTGCAACACATTTTTGCAAAATATTCAAACATAAATTCGTCAAATATAAGAGGAACATTGTAGTTTGGTTTTAACAAAGTATTTTTGTTTTATTATAATTTAGTTTGTTTCAAGGGTTTTACAGTTTTAAGAAATAGAAAATGACACTATATGCCAACCGTCTCAAGGATGTGCAAGACAAGGAAGGGCTACATATACTGTATTTACACTGCCTGGCCAAAAAAAAGGTTGCCACCTGGATTCAACTAAGCAAATAGGTAC